GTTGGACATTTTTTTTGTTGGGTATTGCCAGGGTTTCAAACCGGTTACCCCGAAAACTATCATTGCGCTTAGTTGCACGGTGCTTTGTTTTGGGACCCAGTTTGAAACCATGAATAGGGATATTTGACATACTGAGGAGAATAAGATAATGGTGATGGGATGATATGATGGAATAACATAGTGGAATAGTATAGTTGGAGAATAAAAGGCATATGTAATAATGAGATAATGGGTGCGTATAGAGCCAATCATTGATTGGGAAACAACCCTCTGGTATCAAGATAATGAGGAAACTTATGGGTTTCAATAGGAACGAGACCCCATTCCTGCTGGTTCAAATGTTTACGTTTCCAGCAAAAGATGCGTGCTGGTCTGATACTAATTTTGTTCTTTTCCTCAAACATCCTATGTTGACCGCTGTGGTAAGGAAATTGACCAACACAAACAAGGAAGGCAAACCAATCATACTTCGGAATGCAGATAGAACAGCTGCGAGAAGTGAGTAGAAGTCATGGTCCCTTACACCACCAACCCCCAACAGATAGAAGAGTAGTACATGATTATTTTGGATGATCCGACCCGCTTGATATAGGACCCTACAAAAGCTGGGTTTGTGGGATAATTGTTCATGATTATCATGGGAAGGGATTGTTCCGAGGATCCTACCACTCAGAGATTGCATGAGATTGCTTCAAGTAATCATCATCGCCCAGTAGTTGGTTGTCCCAACTACCCAACTGCTTCAATTTCCCTATGGTTTCTGGTCTCTAGCCAGTTATTTTTTCGGGTGATCTCCAAGGCATGACCAGTGCCTGACCAGTCACGAATATCTAACCCAGACCGAGGGAAATCACCGGCAACGGGGGCGATTTGTTCTGCCGGAATGATATCTCCATTTGCCCAGATTCATTTCATATATAACATAATGCAACATACCGTATCTTGTTGTTTTCAGCCATGGCTTTACTTTTGATTCCTGCATACAATCAGTTTGCTTTGTCAGAAAACCTCTTGCAAATATTTGGGAAATGTAGGTGTGGGTTCAACATGGTAATTATCTGGTTTTCACACCAAAGTAGCTTGTAGATGTTGATAGCCATCCCCCACTTCAAATGAAACATAATGAATATGGACCAATCCCCATGTCTCATGTTTGACACGAAACCTCCAGACTCCACTAACATCTCTCGCCTGCATTCAACGCAGTCGTTCGGCTCAGCTTCCACCTTGACAAGGGCGCAGCCGGCAAAGCCTGGTGGCCCTGAACAAAAGAGGTCGATGTCAAAAAGTGATGCTGGCGGTTATGTAGAGCCAAGTCGTGGCTCAGATTTAATCGATCTGTTTGTACAATGCCTGAATGGTGATGGATGCATGTTGAAGCTCAGTGGTTCCTGCACTGGTTTGGAAGTGTACCGAATGGTTTCAAAGCAGCTTCCGCAGAAAAAAGGTGCACAAATCACCCTGCATCACCTGGACTTATCTCTGATACTACACAAAGAATTGCATGCACAAGGCATCATCGGCAAGGCTGCAACACTCTCGTGCACTTTTGTCCCAACAGATCTCTATGCTGCGTGGTGTACTGTCCAAGGTTTGCCAGTCTCTCAGGGAGAGCTTGCACTAGCGGGAGTGACGCGGATAGAAGGTTCCAATCTCACAAAGTATTTGCACCATCTCCCAGAAAGCCTGGAACACTTGACCTTTGGAAGTGAGTTTAACCACAGCCTGGAAGGAGTGACCCTGCCAAGCAGTCTTCAGACCTTGACATTTGGCACGCTATTTCGCCAGAGGCTGGAAGGAGTGACCTTGCCAAGCAGTCTTCAGACCTTGACATTTGGCGACGCATTTAACCAGAGCCTGAAAGGAGTGACCTTGCCAAACAGTCTTCAGACCTTGACATTTGGCAGGGCATTTAACCAGAGCCTGGAAGGAGTGACCTTGCCAAGCAGTCTTCAGACCTTGACATTTGGCAGGGCATTTAACCAGAGGCTGGAAGGAGTGACCTTGCCAAGCAGTCTTCAGACCTTGGCCTTTGGGTCTCAGTTTGAGCAGAGCCTGAAAGTAGTGACGATGCCAAGCAGTCTTCAGACCTTAACTTTTGGCACTGGGTTTAAGCAGAACCTGGAAGCTGTGACCTTGCCAAGCTGTCTTCAGACCTTGACATTTGGCAGGGCATTTAACCAGAGGCTGGAAGGAGTGACCTTGCCAAGCAGTCAGAGCTTGACATTTGGCGATTGGTTTAACCAGAGCCTGGAGGGAGTGACCTTGCCAAGCAGTCTTCAGAGCTTGACATTTGGCACTGGGTTTAAGCAGAACCTGGAAGCTGTGACCTTGCCAAGCTGTCTTCAGACCTTGACATTTGGCAGGGCATTTAACCAGAGGCTGGAAGGAGTGACCTTGCCAAGCAGTCAGAGCTTGACATTTGGCGATGCATTTAACCAGAGGCTGGAAGGAGTGACCTTGCCAAGAAGTCTTCAGTCCTTGACATTTGGCAGTGGGTTTAAGCAGAACCTGGAAGTTGTGACCTTGCCAAGCAGTCTTCAGACCTTGACATTTGGCGGGGCATTTAACCAGAGCCTGGAAGGAGTGACCTTGCCAAGCAGTCTTCAGACCTTGGCCTTTGGGTCTCAGTTTGAGCAGAGCCTGAAAGGAGTGACGATGCCAAGCAGTCTTCAGACCTTAACTTTTGGCACTGGGTTTAAGCAGAACCTGGAAGCTGTGACCTTGCCAAGCAGTCTTCAGACCTTGACGTTTGGCGGGGCATTTAACCAGAGGCTGGAAGGAGTGACCTTACCAAGCAGTCTTCAGACCTTGGCCTTTGGGTCTCAGTCTGAACAGAGCCTGAAAGGAGTGACGATGCCAAGCAGTCTTCAGACCTTGACATTTGGCGATGCATTTAACCAGAGCCTGAAAGGAGTGACCTTGCCAAGCAGTCTTCAGACCTTGACATTTGGCATGGCATTTAACCAGAGGCTGGAAGGAGTGGCCTTGCCAAACAGTCTTCAGACCTTGACATTTGGCAGGGCATTTAACCAGAGCCTGGAAGGAGTGACCTTGCCAAGCAGTCTTCAGACCTTGACATTTGGCGACGCATTTGACCAGAGCCTGGAAGGAGTGACCTTGCCAAGCAGTCTTCAGACCTTGGCCTTTGGCTCTCAGTTTGACCAGAGCCGGGAACAAGTGACCTTGCCAAGCAGTCTCAAAAGCTTTAGCCAGCGTTCGGTGTTGGTGAGCAGCACGTGATCTGTTTTTGATTGAAGGAGATGTGAGGATTTATTGTGATATTCTGAGGATTTTTCTCTTTGAGTTGCGTATGCCCGTTGCTGGTCCAAAACATGGAATGAATCGGGGTCAGACTTGTGGCAGAGAAGGATGGTATACCATGGTCAGAAAATGTCAGAAAGTCGCGCGGATTGGGGCTAGTTCGTTTTGAGGTAAAGCCAAAAAATAATATCCCCATTGGCCCATTTGGGGTTCCTTGTTGGTTATACAGCGATGCTTACAACGACCCGCATTTATGGCTGGCAGGGATCGTGAACACGTTGGGGGCCATACCACATCAACCAGAACGGACCAGATACCATGGGGTCATGGAAGCCCACTTCCCTGGGCTCGTATCCAATAGCTAATATGGTAAAAACAAACGAAACTTATCTGGATGGATTACAGCCACCAACTTAGATGTTTAGGCTAGGCTGCTTGGGATTAGATGGGTTTACCTTACCATACAACGTACACTACATTTTTTTTGCACAGGATCTAAAAGCCACTAAGTTATTAATACGTACTTGTTAGTCAGTCTATCCATGACTAGCCTATTCTTACTATATTAATATAACATAATTATAGAATGTACGCACGAGGTTTTTATTCGCTTGGGGCTCCAAATGGCCGCTTCTTGTGGCCCCCTGATTTGCTCAACCACCAAGCAGTCTCCGGTGCTTCATCAGCTCAAAAACCATCTGCCGACTGGGATCCCGCGTGAGCGTTGTGCATTTTTGTTGTATTCCAGTTTCTGGGAGGACATGTGTTTTATGTGGTTTTGCAATAGACTTGATGTAGATTCATGGGTGGCCTTTCTTCCATATCTACGTTTTTTCTACGTGAAAATTTATTGGAGAGCAACTGTTCCACTCGGACATCGCAATGGAACATTTCAATGCCCATATATGGATATATATGGTGGATTTCCCAGCCAGCCATGTTTGATTACGGAGGGTAACCATTATTCAGAACTATTCACTATGATCAGCCATTAATCCCTTCCCCCTAATACTAATCCTCCCCAAATAATAAGCACCTTAGGTAGTTTTTATTATTAGGGGGGTATTTATTATTAGGGAACCTTATTAATAAATTGAACCCCTTAATTAAAAAAACACTTTTTGTTTCGATTTCAAAATCAATTAAATTTCCCTATATAACGCAGTTAAAGTATTGCCAAAAATTGGATTTCGAAGCGGACCCTATTAATAAATTGAAACCCTTCATTAAAAAAGAAAAACTATTTCTTTCGATTTCAAAATCAATTAAATTTCCTTATATAACGCAATCAAAATATTGCCAAAAATTGGATTTCGAAGCGGACCTTATTGATAAATTGAAACCCTTAATAAAAAAGACAATTTTTTTCGATTTCAAAATCAATTAAATTTCTTTATATAACGCAATTAAAAATTGCCAAAAATTGGATTTCGAAGCGGACCCTATCAATAAATTGAAACCCTTAATAAAAAAACTAAATTTTCACGGACCCTAATAATAACACCCCGGGGTTAACTAGTGTTTATTATTAGGGGGCGAAACCCACAAATGGTAGCTTATTTTTAGATTGTTTTCTAAAGGGGATCAATTAAAAGTCAAATTGGCCAACCTGAAATTTTCCAAAATTAGAGATGGACCCTAGTTTTTATTATTTGGGGGGGTTAGTAATAGGGGAAGGGATTACTAACTGATCACTGTTGACCATTGAGAGTCAACCATTATCAACCATAGTTATTAGTTATTAGCCATCGTTAACTAGGATTAGCTACCACCATTAACCCGCCATCAACCATAATTCAACTAGGTTTATTAGTTATTCACCACCAGAAAAACCACCAGAAAAACCCACCATCCCCAGGCAGCACTGCTGCTTTGCATCACCTTGGGCCTTGACACCCCGCTGCGGGAAGCCCCGCGTGCGCTGGTGTTCTTGGAGGCGCGGTGTGTGGGTCGAATTGGATGGTATATCATGGAGATTTATAATTGGATGGTAAATCCGAATCACCAGTTGAAAACGGTGGTAAACATCCCATTATTTACCCTCTGGTTACTTAACATAGCCATGGAAAATCACCATGCTATTAATAGGTAAACCATCTATTTCTATGGGCGATTTTCCATGGCTATGTTAAATAACCAGAGGGTAACTATATTTTAACTAATTATATTTTAAGCCATGACTAAGATGAATGTTAACTATGTTAACTATCAACAGATGGTGATATTTTTTGTTGACAATGTTGATAAATGATGGCTGGCTGATGAGTTGGAGGATGAGTTGGTATCCAATGTCTTGGTGATGATCATCCACAATTGGGAATCCCGCTCTCAACCAACTGGTATGATGGAATGACACAGGGTTTTGAACACATTGTGACAGGGGTGAAAGATGGCAAACGTGACCTTGGAACTAGGGGGGAAGTGCACGTTTTGAATGAGTGATCTAGAGAGAACTGGGAAAAGCATCGCTATTTTTAGCACATATCACATATCTGATTCTTTTGGTTGATAGATACATAAAATATAAGGGATCCTATAGAATGGATTGAAATTATGGATTGCAATCGGGTTCTGGATTGAACATCGACATAGGTCTGGTTTGATGGTCCGATCTAAGCTACCAACACTGGCGGAGCCACTCTTCCATGCACTGCAAGTACAGTACCAAAATGACGGCAGAGTGACGACATTTCAGAATTTTTTTGCATGGTATTCTTATGTATGTTTCCTGAATTCATGCCATTTTTGGAGGACATTTTTCTGGAACATACAGTAGACCTTATGACTCAGACCTTATGAACAGGACAGATAGGGATCTTGTTGAGTAACATAGATGTGGACTATATCTACTTCGCTGGCCGACTCCTGCGGTTTCTCCAATCTTTTTCAGGGCTTCGTCACTGCATCTCTAGTGGTGGAAGTGGCCCTGCGTGCCATCGTGCAAGGCCAGTGTCGATGTTTGTTGATCCGGTGTAAACAGCCAGGGTTAAAGCTGAGTTCTAGTCCCGGGAGTTGCTTTGTTGAGAGGGGTCATTTCTTGCGTGCGACAGATGCATTCGAAAAGAATCGACTGAGGAATCAAAAGACCAAGTATTGGCACTTGGTCCATCTTGGCCCCACCTTTCACAAGCTAATCGACATGAAATCCAAAGATGGCCGTGTGGAAATAGATATCATATAGATGTATATGCATATATATATATATTATCATAAAGATATCATATAGAAATATGGATATCATATCTTTATATCGGATATCATTCATGGCTTGACGGAAGCCGTTTGGCGCTTTTTTGCGCAGGTGAAAATTACCTGAAATCCTGGCATCGAGCTCAGCTGAAATCTGTGGCAGCTTGAACGGTTGAATGTCGACCTAGCCTTACCTAGCCCAGTCTTTGTGGCAGGGATAGGATAAAAAAATCCAACTCAGACATACTCAGACTAAACCAGTTCTTCAATGTAGGTGTTCAATGTAGGTATGTAGAAAAAAGTGTACCCCCCAAATCCCCAATTTTTTATCACCATTTCCACATCAAAATTGCAATCTTGGGTGGTACACCGCATTTTCAGACACACCTGCAGGATCCTGCAGTCTCATGAACTATTTTTTATGGTTAAATCAAGTTAAGTTTCATGTGAAATCCTATATTCTCAGACAGACCTATTTAATTAGTCTGGTTGGTGGTTTCAAACATTTTTTATTTTCCATAATATATGGGATAATCCTTCCCATTGACTAATATTTTTCAAGATGGTTAAAACCACCAACCAGTAGTTGTTCCAAAGCGCCGCATGTTTTTCACTGCAGGTGGAACGCCATTGACTGCAGTGTGGCATTTGTGAGCAGCGGTTTTTCGGGATGCACCAGTTGCGAATGGTGGGCTGGTGAACTGTGGATGGACAAGCCATCCTGCACCAGTTGGTAACTGGTAACTATTGGCATACTATTGGTAACTACTACCAAATGGTGAAGGATTTCTTCCATCCACAGTATGTATCATATTTCGGTATATGACCAAAAAAGAATTTTTGAGCGTGTCTGAAAGTGGGGACCAAAAGAACAAATGGGAATTATATTCGTGGGATTTTGGTGGTATTCGTACCCTATTTTTAGATGAACCATATGTCCGCATGTTTTTCTTTACTTTTTGCATGGCTATGTTGTGGTATACTGAGCAGCCTCAATTTGAAACTGTGACGACATGCCTTTTTGGGGCCAGATTTTTGGCCTTGCGTCGTCCAAGGTTTGTTCTTCTTTGCGGCCGGACAGCCTGGGATGAAATGGTGTGTGGAACATGGTTTTCATCGTTCATTCTTCCAAGGTGAGATGTTCCTGCTTGAACAATTACTAGATTCGTACACTTTCATACATATTCGTACCCATTCGTACTTTTTGCTTGAGCTTATCCATGGAAGTGTCGTCTTGGAACCCAGGTTCCATGGATTGTGAAGTCGGTCACAGGGTCCTATTGACCAGCAGATTGTTTCTGACGGTCACAACATCCCGAGTTGCGTTGGATCTAAAGACTTGAACTATGTATACTGAAGCCATCTTTTCGTGGTCTACTCCCCGTTGGTTGACCAGCGAAAAAAAAGCGTTTTGCTGATGGTGAGCTCTCCCTTCTTATCAACCCCTTATGATTCCCTGATGTTTATCTCAGTTTTGATGAAATTCACCAGTTCATCCCAGTTCTGAATTGCCCGTTTTTAAAACAACAAATGGTTTTTCCACCCTATAAATAATATAGGATTAATAAACATAAATAAACCATCTATCAACTGGTGCAGGATTTCGCAACCATCCACAGCATTTTTCAGCAATTTTAAAGCATATGAAGTTCATCTAAGAAGTGATTTCCTTTTGATCCCACAGCTCCCCCTGAGCACCCCCAGGCTCCAAGGGCCAGCGACGAGGCGCAGAAGGAAGACGTGGAACTCAGCCAGTCCTGACGCTGAAGGGCGGATCCCATGGGGTTTTTGACGAAAGATGGGTCTCGAAAGTCTCGAACTACCATTTTTAAAGGGATCTGAATGGATTTTAGATGATTTTAATGGATTATTATCAATATTATATAATCAATGTAATCATCAAACATGAATAGTGATTTCTTGAAGTCAAGAGTTCATCAGCAAAACATGCTGGATTTTTTTAGCATATTCAGCCAATGAGTGATGGAGTTTTTTTCTAAAAGTTTGAGATTTAACACCATCAAAGTGGTGATGAAAAACTGCGAAACATGCTGGATTTACCATGAAACATTGTGACTTCGCCATGGGTTTAACCATGAAAAAGGTGATTGTATCATTGACATATGGAGGATTTAACCATCAAGAAAACTATCAACAATGTTGATGTATGAGATAAAGTGGGAGAAAAACAGCAATATGATATTTGGGTTTATCTGAAATGGGGTGAGCGCAATTTTAATATGAAAAATGATGATAAACCATGATAAACCATTGGATTTTTAAGGGCTACACGATTCTGAATGATATTTTTTCACAGACCAAAAAATTGAACACCTAGTGGTAATCTGGTGTAATCTATGGTAACTGGATTAGCAATTTATTGCAAAAAACCTATGGGAAAACCACGGTTAAATCACCATGACTTCTCAGGTCCTGCTTTTCGGACTTAGAAAGTTTTTTAAACGATGGGGCACAATCACCCAAGGAAAAAACATGGATGTGGTTCAGCCAACTACAACTATAATAGAAGATATATAGAAAACATATATACATATAATATGTTTTTTTTACTTCTTTCAGGCAAATCACAAAAGAAAAAAGGTCAAAGTGTTGCTGATGATACCTCTATCATTCGAAGAATCACCGGATTCTGGTTGGCAGCGTGGATGCCACTGAGGTCGCTGGTGATGGCGCGGGTGATTTTCCAGTTTGCACGGGTGCTTCTGATCGTCGGGGACGCTCAGTTTCTTCAACCTGACGATGATCTGAATGGGAATCCAGCCCAGATCATCCACCATGATGGCATAGTGACCTGCATGAAGTGGTGTTTTTTCCCCACCTGCCAGGTGAGGGTTGTTAGATTTTATGTCAGTTGCCTCCTCCTCCTCCTTCTCCTCCTCCTTCTCCTCCTCCTCCTCCGCCTCCTCCTGCCTCGTCCTCCTCTCCTCCTCCTCGTCCTCCTCGTCGTCCTCGTCGTCCTTGCTCAACTGCGACCCGCGATCCACAGTGTTCTCTGCCGGACCTCAACCACGACCATCCACGCCCAGTGTTCCCTGCCGGACCTCAACCACGACCACCCACGCCCAATGTTCCCTGCCGGACCTCAACCACGACCATCCTCGCCCAGTGTTCCCTGCCGGACCTCAACCACGACCATCCACGCCCAGTGTTCCCTGCCGGACCTCATGTAGGAAGATATGGGACAAGAATGTGCAGAAGAAAGTTAGAAAGAATGTCAGAAAGAAGTCAGAAGATATGCCAGAAGATATGCCAGAAGATAGAATGCCAGAAGATATGCCAGATAGATGCCAGAAGATATGCCAGATAGAATGCCAGAAGATTTGCCAGATAGAATGCCAGAAAATATGCCAGAAGATATGCCAGATAGATATGCCAGAAGATATGCCAGAAGATATGCCAGAAGATATGTCAGAATATATGCCAGAAGATATGTCAGATAGAATGCCAGAAGATATGTCAGAATATATGCCAGAAGATATGCCAGATAGAATGCCAGAAGATATGTCAGATATGCCAGAAGATATGCCAGATAGAATGCCAGAAGATGCCAGATAGAATGCCAGAAGATATGCCAGATCATATGCCAGAAGATATGCCAGATAGAATGTCAAATAGAATGTCAGAAGATATGTCAGATAGAATGCCAGAAGATTTGCCAGTAAGAAAATGTATAAATGTCATGGTGGGGATCACACGAAGTAAAGTAATTTGTTTTTTTCTTGGGGGGGAGACTTTACAATAGACCCTGAAAGTAGTAATTAAATAGCTCGTTTTTGGTGGAGATTGATCTTCCAACCCTCTATTTAAATACTATTGGGCAGGGGTCTATGTTCCTTTCTGGAAGGTAAATGGACCAGACATGTTCCGGGAGCCTCTCGAAGGGAGGCCCAGCAGTTTCAAAATCACCATTTGGTTGTTGATGATAAGCGATTGGAGATTTGTTCCCGCAGGTTTTGGACACTGCTGAAGTAGTGTTTTCCAGGTCCTGTCACTAAAACATTGGATGTCCAATGGATGTCCGGATTTTTGCACCTGCTTACAGCTGCTGATCAATTGTTGATGAAAGCAGACATGACTATGGACTTTGGCTCGAAAGTAGATTGCCAACCCCCACAATTTGATATGACTTGACATTGAAATCTTGAAACAACTGTAGGAAGTGGCCGCCAAATGATAGGTAAGCTGGTTGAAATAACTAGGAATACGATGGGATGCATGCTGAAGATTGATCATTATAGTTAACTATGATTAAGCATATTACAGTTGCTGTAACCACATTATTAGCCATGCGTCACTACAATTACTTGTAGCCATTACCAACCAATATTAACGATGATTACCCATATTATTAACATTTGTTAACCACACTTAAATATAATTATAGCGCAGAGATCTATGATCGGACCTTCATCATGTTTTTTTCCCCAGGCGTCTCACGCGCGGCGTGCCGGGAAGATGCAAGAAGAGGTGTCCTTCGCCAACGTCACGGAAATGTCTGGGACTCCCGGGCCAAGTGCAGGGCCAAAAAAAACACCATCACGACTGCAGGTGTCCTAAAATTGGGATACCCCGTATCCAACTTTGAATACCTTCTGGTTATTTAACATAGCCATGGTATAGATGGCCCGAATCGAAATAGATGGTTTACCTATGAATAGCATGGTGATTTTCCATGGCAAACCGTTAAATAACCAGATGGTATATCATATTGCACTCAGGGTTACTTAAATGGGCGATCCCCTGGACAATCCTCCATTGATTAACGGAATCCATGGGGGAATCTCCTCCAGAACTGGGCGATCGAAGTTATGTGACACCAATGGCCATGTCGAACAGAGGCACTGGTGAAAGCCCATAGATCCCATAGATCTACCCAGCAATGCTGGTGATATGTTTAAATAAATTATCCGTTAGAATTCTTTCGATGTTCCAAACGTGAAACATGTTGGGATATTCTGGCTAGTTACTACGTGCAAGTTTCCTAGTATATTTTTTATTTCGGGGATATTCTATGAAGATCTTCCAGGCAGTCGGCCAGGATTTGTTGAATCCTCAACGCTGAGGCTGGAATTTACCGACATTCAGGATTTTGACTTTACTCTCCTGAAGCAGGTGGGAATTTCGGGAAGAGGCCAGCAAGGGAAGCTGGGGATGCCCAAAGATTGAAAGCATGGGTATCTAAACATATCTAAGCAACATATTCCTGTAAAATCCTGTAAACATGTGTCTGATGTTGGTTGCTTGGTGAACCAATTTTCGACTTGAGGAGGTGCAAGACCGACATCGCAAAGACGACTTCGGCTTGTGAGCAACGACGCCAAAACGCGCTCGAGGATCGACGCCAGTGATGCGGATGAAGCTGTCGTGGAAAATGGAAGATGGCGGCAGTGGATCAACCTATGACAAATGCAGATCTAACATGATCTAATCATTAGATGTCAGGAACTCAAACTGCATACATTCCTACAATATACAATTCCTATATATACATATATTCGAAATCAAAGCCAAGTATTTGGTCCATTCAACTAGAACTCTAGCGGGTTCGGTGGCTTTGTTTTGGGGCCCCAGTTAAAATCATGAATCTGGGGATCTCCCTTGAACAAAATACAGTTTTGTTTTGCTGCACAGATCGGGCCCAACAAGAATCATTAGACATTACCCAAACCATCCTGGAGTTTTAACCTAAGAATTTGGAAAACTAGCTGCAAAGTTCAAGGTTCAAAGTTGCTCTGCGATTCGGCTCGGGCCTTCGGGCCTTCCAGCCCCGAAAGACGAACTCCGCGCCGTTCCCGAACAAAAAGCGCGGAGCTCTTGGGCGGTTCCCTTGTGATGAGCACCTCGGCATCATCATCATCATCATCCTCATCCTCATCCTCATCATCATCATCATCATTATCATCATCATCATCATCATCCTCATCCTAAGAAATATAATATATAACATATAATGAATAAATATATAAATCAATATAAATAATTATAATTACATTCAAATAAATACAAATAAATATAAATAACTATAAATAAATATAAATAAATATAAATGAATATAAACAATTAAAAATAAATATAAAAACATATAAATACATATACATTATATTATAGTATATTTCTCATAAGTCATAATTAGCATTGTCACTATCATGATATGAATTCTCAGTTCGATGATTTTCTTCCGCTAGGCCCATCCTTCGACGCTGCGAAGGGGGTCACGGCGACCGCGCGGGCGACGGCATGATTTTGATGGTGGAGTGCAACAGATTGGGTGATAGGTGGGGTTATCCCGCCAAAAATCCCCAAAATCCGCTGGATATATCATGATATATCAACCATATATAGCTGAGATATCTACCATAGGTTTATAAACCAGCTGATATATCATGGCTACTTATATTCCATCATCCTTTTGACTTAAAAAGCCGGACAATGTGGTATTTTCTGCAGACAGAAACCATCGAAAGTGAAAGGTCCATTCGGATTCGCCGCAATGCCGCGGTTCAGTGACCATGGCGGAGGGTGTGATAGCATCTTAGCATCATCATAGTATCTAAGTGTCAAGGAATTTCAATTGGCATCAGTGATGATCCAGATCCACACCTTCTGCTTTTTCCATTTTTTCCTGTTTGAGTTCAGAACTGTTTCTTTTTTCATGCTTGGCATCTAGCCGAATCAGCATCCAAAGCAAACTCACAAGCCACAGTTTTTCAACAGCTCTTTCAACAACATCATAAACCACGGCCATTGGCGATCGGACATTTCGCAGGGACACCCAGTGATCTCCAGATTTCTGGGGATGACCATCATCACAGATGGGCTATGTGCAATCTATGTGGACGTTTCCTGAAATGGGGATACGCCTAAATCATCCATTTATAGATGTTTTTCTCCATTATAAACCAACCATTTTGGGGATCCCCCATTTATGGAAACCCCCATGTGTAACCATGCGCTTTTTGTCAGTGTACATTACTGCGGTGAATTCAGCCTGTGAAGACCAGGCGGATCAAATTTGGATTGTAATTTGGTGGTTTCACGTATTCGCAAGTATACCAACAAATGCGATGACGATCCCACTACTATCCCCATGACTGACTTGTTTTGCTCGACCTCCAATCAGCCAAGCAAATGGAGGACCCGGGCTACATGGACAGCCATCACTAGAGAAGAACCATGAGATAGGATGATTTTTCGTGTCCAGCCTTTGGCACAAAGCCATTTTCACCATTTTCATCAAACCCTCTTGCAACCAGACAGATCAGACAGGAACGATCGATTTCAGAGACAGTTTGTGGGAAATTTGAGGCCCCAAACGGAATACCCTCACCAGATGCCGGTGCAAAAATTGGCATCCATTTCCGAGTTTCTTTTGATCCGGACACTTTGAGAGCAAAGCATCTCCCAAAAACATGGTCCCACGTCTATCATCTTCAACATCTTCTGTTCACTTCTAAGGTCGTCCAATGATCATCAATGATCCAATCTGATCCAATCTGATCCAATCTCATCCAATCTCATCCAATCTGATCCAATGGACGATGATGTGATTGGGACCCCCGCACTGAGATGACGCTCCCCGCGGCGCAAGGTCAAGATGGGGCAGATATGTAGGGCGGCCAAGACTTGGATCTCAGGGCGATCGACCCGACCCGGTCAACGTTGACAGAACTATAGAAATCACCATTTTGACATAGGGAAAATCAACTTTAAATGGGGTATCTTCAATAGCTAAGTGTTAAATTATCAGAGGGTAAATCTAATCTGTTCAAACCATTGCTGATCGATCAACTGGAAAGGAGAGCTAAGCTCAGGGATTGGTACCTGCAGACAAGATGAATCCTTTTTTGTGAATCCGTCCCTAAAACATCGCCATTTTGGAGGAATTCCCCTTTTCAGATACACCCTGTTGACTTTCGTATTTTTCAGAGGGGCTCAAACCACAAATGCAGTTTTCAGAATTCCGGAACTATCCAGAATATGTAGAAGTCAGTTTTTGGTATTGAATGATGGGTCCAATTGTCTTTCACAACTTAAAACAGTTGGATAAAAACTATCATTATCTATCATCCATCACCAAACAGTTTTCAACTTAAAACAGTTGGGTAAAAACATGTAAAAACGATCATCTATCACCAATCAGTTTTGGAATGTTTTGGACATCAGATATCATCGGGCCGATCGGGCAGGTTGTGCAGAGGAGAAGAAGAGCCAGGTGCTGCGCCGATGTGTTACCCGGGTACTAATCATCCGTTTAGATCCGTTTAGGGGGTAACCCCCATTTCCGGAAATCCCCCAAAAAGAGGGGACACATGAGACATATATGTCCGGTTTTAGCCCTTTTTTTTTGCGCATGAAAAGAACCATGGATCGTTCATAATTGTTTCATTAAATCAATCCATCATCCATCCATGTGAAATGCCTTGGAATCTCAGAATATCTTGCCATTGCCTACAAACCATACAATCATCCCCGCGAACAGAGAACATCAAAACCATGACCAAAACAAGTGCAACGATGCGAAAATCAATCTTATTGCATATAATTATAGTTAGTACATGTTAGTACATGTTAGTACATTTTGTTGATCTATGTTGGTTCGTTTTTGTTGTTCCGCATGTTTGTTGGTTTGATCGATCATACTTTTTTCAGCAATCTTCAGGGCGGAAATACAGTGGAGGTCGAGGTGCCCGGGTGGGAACGGATTGGCTCAGACATGGGATATAGCCCAAGTCATTTTAGTACGTAGGACAAGTGATCATTTTTCTGCAAATTGGATTAGGAGGGTGCCTTATTTTGGGGCCGCAAGGGGCCATAGCAAGAAGAAATGTTTCACAGGCAGAGGAAGGGATATTGTCCGTTTGAATTGGGTTTTGACAAACAGATGAATATGGTCATTCATCCTTCAAAGGTGTCTTTGTCAGAGCTGGTTGAGGATCTTTTTCCCCAAAATCATAGGTCTCTTCTAGCCTAAAATGATCAAACAGGGGGACACGTAGCAAACAGAAATGTGGAACATGGAACAAGAGCTGGGATACTGTTTAGCAGACGCAAGTAATTATGGCATCACATGCAATACTCAAAGAAATATTCCATTCCAGGTATGACGTCATCCGGTGGTTAGTCGAGTAAATAGTATATTATATAATACTATGGATATCACAGTGTATTCGAGTCGGGGTTGATCAAGTTCCAGAAACACCAAAATCATTTTGAAGGGGCTACCTGAAACTACCTGAAAGCATGCGGTTTCAGTCTTGAATCACTTTAATTCAGACAACTGCCATGCATGCTATTCTGACTTTTCTGCTTAGAATCGTGGCACTTACTGGGATCTGCAGGTCCATTAGTATTCCACTTTTCTTCTAGATAGAACTATTGTCATCATTTGTCATCTATTGTCTATGGTTGTTGTTTTTCGGGTGATACTGTTGAGAATTTGAGTATTTTGGGTATGGTGTCGCTTAGACAACCAATCCTCCAGGCGATGAGCGAGCGCGTGCTTCGATCTGAGGCAGCTAAAGCAAGTTTTCTTTGATGCTACGTCTTAGGTTTCTTAGATGTTTGATCAACAAAATCTGAGGAGTTATATGTTGTACATTGTTATACTAGTATGAATTGATATGATAATGTATTGTGATATATTCAATATACATGAACCAGCTGTATAGTCTGTATTGACCAACAAAAACTGGTTGCAACCAAAAACCACTAAGAGGATGACATGGATGCAACATGAACAAGTTGGCAATCCAGCCACAGATAGAGGTATTTTTACCGATTGATCCAGCGAACACAGGGATAAGTTGTTATTGACCCATAACTTGGGGGACCGGCATACACTTGTCTTATGGAACCGCGTATTGCATGTTATTACGATGACAAGTCACGCTAACACAAGCTGTTACTACCAATAACACAATATATAATATGATTATATACATGTCATATTCTATCAATTTCATGTGACATTGCACTCCCTCGTTATTGACATATACTTGTTACTATTTCGGAATCCCTATATATATTATATAGTGGGACTATTGACACACAAGCTCTCATGATCTTGTCACCAAGGCGCGAAGCTGCACTGTGAAAAATCATGGTCCAAACACGGAATCCATCTTCAATCCCTAATGGATAACCATGCCAAAGCCCTATTGATTGATGAGTTGAAGATGTAGGCGTGTGGCGGTGGCAACGCCGTCAGCAGCATCAATTCGAGCAGCAGACAGGTGTCGCAGGCATTGCGAGAGCTCAGTTTTTCGGATTGTTACATTTTGGTAATTTAGCAATACCCATAGGATCCATGTATGCTATATATGGTAACATTTACCATCAATATACCCCAGTCATGTTAGCATATATACCAGCACCATGGATCCTATGGGATATTTAACATAGCCATCGTGGTG